CTGTATTTTATGGTAAACCCTGATTTTCTGTTCAGTGCATTGACTCTGCTTTCTGAAGCTTTGATGAGCAGCCCTTTAGCCTGCAGCAGAGACTTGATTGAAGACATCATACAAAGGAGAATCAACGGTTCTGTGACTCGCCACTGGAAGCTCCTTGGCAAGGCAGCATCGTGCAGCATCAACTAACAAAATGCTCAATACTGCATATGCAAACAGGAATGCGGGGCTCACCTCAGGTGGCAGGTTCTGAACGGGATATGAAAACAGAGAAACAAAAGCAGACGAGCAAAGAGTGTGTCCCTAAGTCATCAGAATTAATCTAAAACATGAGTTTCATACTTAAAAGATGCATTTCTTTTTTTAGAAAAAGTAAACTGGGTGGTGGTGGCACATGTCTTTAATTCCAGCCACTCAGGAGGCAGAGGCAGGGGGATTTCTGTGAGTACGAGGTCAGCCTGGTCTACAAAGAGAGTTCCAGGACAGTCAGGGTTTTACACAGAGAAACCCTGTCTCAAAAAAAAAAAAAAAAAAGAAAAAAAAAAGAAAAGAAAAGAAAAGAAGGAAGAATAGAACTAACTACCAGATGTCCCAGAAATTTCCAAAGAACATGAGATCACCATCTCAAAGAGATATATTGTTAATTCTTCTATGTTAACTGCAACAATATTAACAGTCAAACAGGGCATCCATCTCAGTATCCACCAATAGATGAGCAGATAGAGAAATTGTGGTAGATACACAAATAGTTCATGGTGTACGTAAACACACTATTCAGCTCAGGAAGTTCTATGGTCTTATACAGATGAACCTAGGGGGGACCATTTTAAGGGAAATAAGTTGCACACAGAAAAACAAAACTGCATGTTCACACTAATATCTGAAATCTTAAAAAGTCAAAGTTATGGGACCAGAAGGGCAGAATGATGGCTGCCAGGGTCGAAAGAGTAGCAGCTTGGAAGGTTTGGGGAAATCTAGTCAAAGGTGACAAACTTTCAGTTGGAAAAGGTAAACTCAGGCTTCTATTGTACCACAGTGGCTCAATATTCTTAACACACGCAGAGTGAGTTAACACTTATGTTAGTGAGCTCCATCCAGCCATTCCATAGCACACACCTTTCAAACTAACATGCTGCACATTGCAAGTATATATAATTTTGTCAATTGAAATATTTTTTTTAAAAAAATTTCAGGTTAGCAACATGGCTCACATCAGGTAAAGGTGCTTTCCTCAAGCCCCAACAGCCTGAGTTCAATCCCTAAACCCACCTAGGAAAGAAGTAACCCCTTCATGTTGTCCTCTGACCTCCACAGGCCTGCACACATGCATACTAAATAAATAAATGTCCTTTAAGGGGGAATTTTTAGTGGAAAAAATTATTGAGACAGAGAAAGAGAGAGAATTAACATAATTCATTTTCTACTATGAATCTCAACCAAGAAGTTGACAAATTCCGTATCTAAAGAGGAGTAGGAGTCGAAGTAGGTTAGAGAGAGGGCAAAGAAGCCAAGGAGGAAAAAATCTGGGCGCATTAAGAATGAAGAAACTCTTAGCACCTCCTGCTGCCGGCTGCAGTCTATTCAAACCAAACCCCACCCCTGTAAGTAACTCCATCAAGCAGAAATCAGTATTTTAACTGTTTATAACTTTATATGGCTGCTATCTAAAGAAATTGTTCGCTTTTAAAATGGGTTCAATAGAGGACCAATATACAAGACAAGTAACTGGCCTCACATATGTCGCTTGATCGATGGCCCAGTTTTCTAGTGCAGCAAGGATGCAGAGATATCAAGGGCTGCTGTTGTTTGCTTATGTTGGGCAACAAACCTAACGTTAAACATGACCCTTGCAACTGTTCCCTCATCTTTCCGAGCCAAGGCACTTTGATGCTAGAATAAATATCACTATGGCTCCACGCTGAGGAAACTGGGGTTTGCAGGGAGGGTTTCACCCTGTCAAGTTGGGTTTGTTTTTTCCACAAACAGCTTAAAACGCCCTTTGAAAGAAAAGCGGCATGAGCGGAGACAATCACTTTAAATTATGACCGTCTCTGGGTCTCTCACAGTCTCTGCTCATTATGTCTGCCTTTTTAGTCTAAAAATGCAGAAAAGAGTCAACATGTCATAACTGGAGACTGAAAGCTGCAACCCATCTGCCAACATAAATCATTTGGACCTAGAAAGAAAATGCATTTTTGAAGAAACAATTCTGAAGGCTTTCCAAGATATAAAGTAATTTCTTACTTATAATTTATTCATCAGAAATAACTTTTTTAAAGATTTATTTTAAGCCGGTGGTGGTAGCACACCCCTTTAATCCCAGTGCTCAGGAGGCAGAGGCAGGAAGATCTCAGAGTTTGAGGTTCAGCCTGATCTACAGAGCAAGTTCCAGGACAGGTGGGACTGCACAGAAAACCCCTGTCTCAGGGGAAAAAAATTACTTTATTTTATGTGTATCAGTGTTTTGATTGTATGCATGTAAGTGCACACATGTGCCTGAAGCTGGAGAAGGCCTGGGAACTGCAGTCATAGATGGCTATGAGCCAAGATGTGGTCACTGGGAACCAAATTCAAGTCCTCTGCTAGAGCTTTAAGTGCTCTTAATTGCTGAGCCAACTCTCCAGTCCCCCAGAAATAACTTTCTAAGTCCAGAAATCCTAAAGCCATTTGGATTCAGAATCAAGACACCTAAAGAACCAACAGAAAATGAGCCTAAACCCTATTTGCCCGTCCCACTCCTAAGACCACTCACTGAATTGGATGGGCAAAAGAGATGGAGAAGGCTATTACAGGAGGAACTGGGGGAAGGAGTGAATGTCCTCAAAATACACCGTATGAAATTTTCAAAGAGTTAAAAAATATTGTTATAAAGGTAAAAATATAAAAAAATAAAGACCAATTTTCATAATAGTTGACCCGTGCCAATAAGGCTTTAAATGCAGGGGACCATGAAGACCCTCAAAGGCCTTCATCAACTAGCTAGTCAATAATAAGAAAGGACTAAAATGCAGGTCCCTGTCCACTTTGACCTTGAGGTTTAGGGTCATGGACTAGATATAAAGGCCTCCTGAACCAATAATTTTTAACTTCTCCTCACCCACAGCCAATCACACCAAAAAGAACCAAAAGATACAATATAAAACATTTTATAAATAGGATCTGAATAATCCTTTGTTGTTTTTAGAGTTTACATTTTAAAAAGTGAGTAGCTATCATCTTATTGAAAATACAAGATTCGCAATAGCAGGAGCCACATGCAGACTGCTCTCTGTTTGATCCACAGCATTTGTGCGGTTCTATGGTTCCTGGTGCTCTGTTTTTGTTCCCACTCTCCAAGCACTCTGTCCCGATGTGTGCACTGCCAGGGGGAACACAATGCCCTTCTTTCCTTTTTCCCTAAAGTCCTAGCAGCTAAGACTCTGGTGTATGCATCAGTGGGCAGGCAGGCAGGAGGCAAGCAGGCAGGCACACACACAGACACTGCCAGATCTTGTACAGACGACGGAAAGTCAAGCGGTGGGATGGGAGCTATTCATATACAGCAGCGGAGATGCAGACGGTTCTTCCCTGTACTTTGTTCTCCGTGGCCTCTGCTTGGCTTTCCTTTAGTTCTGTCAGTTGCCTGGGTTAGTCCACTGAAGTTCTTTCCCTCTTAAGTTAGTGTAAGGCAAATTCTGTTACTTCCAAGTAAAACCACTAGTAGACAGATAGTAGACACTCGAATATTTCTTAGGCGAAAAGCTAGGCTTGAAGGATTAATTAGCTATGATAATTTTACATCTACATTACAATTTCAACGCTCCCACAGCCTGTATTTTGCACCTACTTGATTTACATTCCAGATAAGTCAAGTTCTTCTTGATGCCAGAGCTAAGTTTTTTTTTAAATCTTTTAAAAATCTATTCTAAACTAGGTTTGCTGTTATTTCCCCAAGTATGCTGTAAAATGTCTTAACTCACTGTCTCACTGTGGATAGTGTCACTAAGGAGACTGACACCAAAAAAGGAGAGAAACTTAGAATACTGTCTGGAGAGCTAAAACCAGCAAGGGGGAACATGAGAGAGAGTTAAATATTTTCAAATGGAGCATCTGAAGGTGTACTAAGTGTGTGAATGGGGAGGAAACTGGAAGAAGGAAAGGGGGAAGGAAGGAAGCCGAGAGAATATAGAAACGAAGACTTAAACTTTAAATATGGGCTGACATTCACCCTGTGCACTGAGGTGGAAGGGGTTCAGTAGCTTAGGGAACAGCTTCTTAAAAGACAAAAAGTATTCTCTCTCTCTCTCTCTCTCTCTCTCTCTCTCTCTCTCTCTCTCTCTCTCTCGCACACACTCTCTGTCTCTCACACACACACTCTCTCTCTCTCTCTCTCTCTCTCTCTCTCTCTCTCTCTCTCTCTCACACACACACACACACACACACACCTGCTTTCATCATTGTCGTCTGACTCTATGGAATGGACAGTGTTTTGTCTGTAAATTCACCCATCCCATTCTGCCTCCCTCTACCATAAAGGTCTCCTCTCCTCGCCTCCTAAAAGAATCTACAGGCAATGTCACAAACTTCCACGTTTACAATTTAAAAGACTTCTTCAGAATTACTTCAAGAATTCTACTACCTTGCTATCCATTTACGCCACGGCAAAGAATTTTCCAGAGTGTATCCTGCTTGGTTTGTGTAAACACAACCCCCCCCAAACTAGGTTACCCCAAATTAAAAACCTATTAAATCAACTCAAGTGAGGAATAAAGGAAAGAGCTTTTTCTGAAACCTGTGCTTGATCAGCAGAAATTCAATGCGAGCCACCCTACCCCCAACCCCACCCCTGCTATGTCCGATCTCCAGGGAGCTGGTGCTCATCCCTATCCAAATAGGGCCTGAAGAAGAACAAAACTCACGAAAGAATATCGCTAATACTTAAGAGAAGTTTTTAAAAGAATGGGCGGGCTGGGTTGGGATGAAATACTTGAAGGAGCGCTTAGTTAACTGGATACCCTGCTTACCTGCGTGTATGCTGCATAACGCGATTTCTATAAAAAATGAAGTATGAAAAGAAGTTCGAAATATAATGAAACCCCGTATACATGTCTTTCAGTGGAACAATAAAGAGACGTGAAATCTTTACGTGGGCTTCCGGTGCTTTTCGGCTGTAGATACGGAAGACAAAGGCCTTGGGTCAATGGATTCAGCAAACGCCTTCTCTGTTGTTGCATCAATTACGCAGCTCTAACTAGACCGGCCCTTTAGCACGCACTCTCCAGCCGCGCTCCCTTGTTCTGAGGACGCTGGCATTTCTCCCCGGGATACACATTCCTCTCTCAGCCCTGGGACAGGGGGACTGGGCCACCCACTGCCCTGGCCGCTGCCAAGACACGGGGACTTGTTGCTGGTGGCGAATTTTCTTGCACTGCCAGCCCAGGGCCGGGAGTCCTCCATGCTCCCTGGGGCTCCTCGGGTCAGCCCGAGGGTGGGGCCGGCTGCTCCCGCGCCCCATAGTGCCGAGAGCGGGTCCGTGGGGAGGGAAGCGCTCGACTGGACTCGGTGCTCCGAGCCCAGCCTTCATGCCCGCTGAGGTCGCCGGGTCGAGGGCACCCGAGGGTCCAGGCTTGCTCCTGCCTTCCCCCGCAGCCTCCCCACCCCCATTCGACCCTGGAATCAATAGTGGGCGCTGATTTTTCACAATTGCAGCTGTCTGATTCATCAGTGAATAATTAAATCAGAGGCAGCCAGGCCTGCCTGGCGTCAGAATATAGGGGCCCCCTCCTCGAGCCCTTCAAACTGGGGGTCAATGGGAAGCTGAGAGGGCGGCCTCTGCCTAAGCCTAGGCTGGGAGAGCTACCTGGAAGGGGAGCCTTTCTGTGTGTGGCTGCGGAGCCAGAGCCAGGTGTGGGGAGCAGGCCTGACTGCTGAGGAAGGTGAGAGAAAACGGGGCGCTCTACAGAGACCCAGCTCAGATTCAACAGCCCCTTCCTGTGAACCACAGGCTGCAGATCCAACCACCACACTAGAGTCCCTCTCTCCCAGTCGCAGCTGTGATTTGTGCAGACACCCTTCTCGGGCTGACTTTCCGAAGGGACAGGAAATTCACCCTCGGAAAGCCGGTTGCCTTTGAGGAAGATAGAAGCGCCTAGAAATGGCATTGATTTAGACATCAATCCTGACCTACTCCCTCCTCCTCCCCACTGGCTGGGCCATGCTGCCCCCTCCTCGCAAAGAGAACCTTCGCCAGCCCCAGGGCTACCGGACCCGGCTGCTGGCAACCAGCCCTGCTCACTCAAGCCCCCATAGCCAGTGTACCTGCCCCCCCCCCAAGGTCTCCAACCTACCTCCACAGCCTCAATACCTGCACCCACCATCCACGTCCACCCCTCCTCCATGACCTGCACACCAACCTTCACAACCTCGATACCCGACTCTGTGACCTCCAACCCACCTGACTCAGTCTGGAGGCCGGCACCCAGGGCCTCAGTGCCCAGTCCCTACCACATCGGCCTTCCTCTGAAGTGTGTGGAGCCTCTAATTCCACACACACAACCTGCAGCCCAAACACCGAGGCCTCCACACCAACCCCCAGAGCCTCGACGCCCTCCTCTATGGTCTCCACAGTCACCCTGGACCGGTTGGGCTCCCTTCCCACCTTCTCCACCACCACCTCCAGCCCATTCCACACCTCCAAGCTTGGCCCGCCCAAACAGCCACCCCCACACCAGGGCCGTTCCGCTGCCCTACAAATGCTACTTTGGGGGTGGGGGTGGGGGGCAACAGGTCTTCCGGGCCCTCCAGGTTGCAGGGTGGCTACTTTGCTCTCTCAGCCCGGGGTCTGTATCTCAGTTTCCTTCTCCACAACCTTACCGATTGAGTCCGGCCAGAGAGCACACTGGTACATTAGTGCAAGTCTTTCTTCGAGAATGACTACAGCCCCCTGGCCACCTGCAACTCCCGCGGTAGCTAGTCTTGATTTCTAACACGCGTTTGCAAACAAAACGATTCAGAATTCGTAAGGTGACATCGAGACAGTTTTGTGGTCATGAAATTCTCCTAAAACAACCTTAAAGTGTTGTGTGCCTTTTAATAGTGTTACCCCGAAAGATCGACTCAGAATGACTTAATTTCTTAAATTTCTCTGAGAGCAGATAGTCGAAAAGCCTTTAAAAAATGCGCGAGCTTAATAAACGGACAGAATTCACACAAACATTTTTAAAGCCCTGTTATATTAGTTTTCGACTAAAAATATCTATTTTAAAATCGAAATGTCTGTTTCTCAAGTTTCAGTTCTGGCCAGGGTATAAAATACTTTATGCTAAAAATCTTCTCCCGTGGCACCTACAACAAATGAAAGATATTTTAAATTCATTTTCCCTGAGAAAGTACTAGGCATTCGTAGTAATGAATAAATAATGTTAAGTCCTCAAAAATCGTGATTTCTAGAACAAATAAATGATGTTTTTTAGAGGTTAATAAATTTTTAAAAAGTGATACCGTACTTAGTGTCTCCAGGCAACTTTAAAAAAAAAGCTCCACTTTCAAGGAGCTAAATTTGTCCTTTTTACAACCAACTGCAACTTTTGCCTTTCTTTAGAAAAGACAACAAAAAGATTTCACGCGCAACTTGACCGGGACAAAGGGACCTCACGCCCAGTCTCCTTTTGTAAGGTGACAACTGACAAAAAGAAAAACTTCATCTTCAGCCCATTTGAGTAGTGCGTCTGGAAACACTCTGTAAAGGGAAAGCGTAGCGCAAGTTACCCGCAAACTCTCCCAACCGAGGCCGCGGGGCTTTGAGGTCGAGGCAGGTAATCCTGGGAACTGAAAGTCGAGTGGGAGAAATGCCTCGTTCTTGGGCTTCAAGTTACTTATTTATGTGTGCCATGTAGTTTTAGTGAAAATTAACCTCCTCCCATCTCGGAAAATGTCACAAGCTTCCCCAAGGAAGTCCTCCGTATTTGAGTATTCGCAAATTAGAGCCCTCAACTTCCCCTCATACATTATTATTATTATTATTATTATTATTATTATTATTATTATTATCATCATCATTATTGCATTTTCTACAAAGATAAAAATGTTTCTCCATGCAGTTTCAGCAATGTTAGCAGCCTAGAAAACAGACCAAGAGAAGGGTGTGGGTGCAAATTCCAGACAGGAAAGGTACTGATGGCCCAGCCTATAGTATCTAGATTCAGCTAAGGTCTGTCCAGCTCAGAGGATTCACTACCATTAGAACTCCTCCAGCCGTGAAGAAAGGGGACTAGGGAGCAAGAGACAGTAACACAGACAGATAAACTGGGCACCTAACTTTAGCTGGTTTCAAATCTACGAGGAGAGAGAAATATTAGGGTTGGTGACCTAGTTCCTGGCTTTCTTTACAACCAAGCAGGTGGATCCGTTGGTGTCTCCGCTCAACTGAAGTCTAGTTTTGTCAGTTCCTGTAAGCAAGTACCTATGCTCTTTAGGTTGGTGGCTGTCCCTTCTCACTTGTTCTCAAACATCCCCACCCCCCCTACACACACACACACACACACACACACACACACACACACACACACACCTTCAACTCCACCTTCTAGTCTTATAGTTAAACTTGTCATTCCAAGAAAAAGCTTCTCCTGGAACCCGGCTTCTTGTAGCTCCAGTTTTCCCCCTAGGAGGCCAGATAAGCTGGAAGAAAAGATTAACAGACACCAGCTCTCTGCACCCCTCAGCAAAGCGTCTTTTGCCAACCTTCTGCAGTTAGGGGCAGTCATTTGAAGGTTCTGTTCACCTAGAAATACTTTAACATGATCCATAAGAGGAGGCAGGAGTTCCCCCCTCCAAGGACTGATTTGACTTGAACCACTAGAAAACTTTTTTTAAAAATTATTATTATTATTATTATTATTATTATTATTATTATTATTATTATTTCCTACATCAACAGCACATTTGAAAGGTGTCAGTGGATTTACAGGGTGAGAAGCTGAAAGAACTTAGGCTGGGCTTTGGCTTTAGTTTTAGTTTTCTTCTTCCTGTGTTCAACCAGCCCAAGCTTTCAGACAGAAGAAAATTGAAGCTAATGGAGATATCAAACAGAGCCACAATTCTGAAGGCTCCCTCTTCGCAACAAACACCTACCGTGCATCTGCACGTGTAATCACAGAGGCTGGCCGGGTCTTCATTACTACAGACTCTGGGAAAAGGGAAGAAAATTCTCCAGCATTAAAAGGAAGCCTCTATTATCACTATTATTATTTGTGTACAGCAACATAAGAATTTCTTTCTCTTCTTGAAATTCCCCCACAATATTAAAACGCCATTTGTTGTCCGATTCATATAAACGCTTGAGGCCTTACTGGAAAACCATTACCATTCAATGGCTGGAAAATTGCTCTCCTTCCTTTAAAAAAAAAATGAAAGACAGAAAGAAAAAAGAAGAAAAAGGCTGTCGCAGCAGCAACAGCAGCAGCTACACACAGACAACAAAAACTTTCTCCTGCATAATCCTCCTCACACAATGACAAAGAAATGATATTGACTTACCCAGAAATGGATGATGTGTTTGATAAGGGGGGGGGGGCTTTTTGTGTGTGAAGATTTCTGTCCCGGAGCTATACAGACAGCTGCAATTCATGGGCGATGCTGATTGCTAGAAAGGCTATGGATTGGCATGGGGTCTGCAGCTCACACACCCTGATCAATACCCCTACACTCACACGCCAGATGGTTTGGGGAAGGGCAAAAATAAAATAGTCCAAAACAGCCCACCATTATCCCCCCCCCCCTCCTTTGGTACTGCTCTGATCAACCTAGCTGTAGCACAAATGTGTTTGAGCCTACAGAAAACCTGGGTATATGCTGAGCGTGTGTCTTTCTAGCCCTGTGCCTTCTAGGCTAGACTATGGCTGCTGTTGGTTTCTGTCTGTTTGTTTTGTTTTAAGTTAAAACAAAGCCTTTTGTATCTTATCCAGATTGTATTGATTTAGGGTCTGTTTGTATTTTTTGTGAATAATTTATAGAGTTCCTGTTTTAATTGAGTCTCCCCAGTTTTAATATAGAAAGTACAAATGGAAAACTGATAGCAAATATTTTCAGTGTTCTCATGCCATGTCTAACTGAAGCTTTGAATATTTCCTCTTCCATTGTGCAAAGATCTAGCTGTCGAACATTTTTTTCCATTCTCATTTACATTTCGGATTGTGAAGGATGTGTGACCTGCAGATGTGGATCTCCGAGTCCTGACACAAAGCCTGACACAGGTCCCCAGATTCTAACAGAAACGGCTGCTGGGCAGTACAGTTCCATAGACTATTTGTGAATCAAATGCTGGAGAGGGAGGGAGAGCAGAGCACAAACCCCTGACCTAAAGAACTTGTGAAGCTTTGACCAGAGCATGGGGCTAAACAAGGGATGATTAAAAAGTAGCTCTTCCCTTTTGTTTTATTAAAGACATAATGAGAAAGAAACACCAAAGTGTTTCAAAACATATTTCAAAATCTCATTAGTATTGTTACTGTTCAAATTATCATGATGTGGAAAATAAATAGTTTTTCCTTTTTAAAAAGGATGGAAAAGAAACATCTAAAAGCCAAATCAGTAACAACAAAAAAAATTAGGATGTTGGCTAAGCAAGCATTTTCATTATCCCTTTAATTGGGTCTGAGTTGGAATATAAAACGTCAAAGCTATTAGAAAAACATCGTGGAAAAATCTGCTTTAATTTAACCCAATGAAATTATATACAAAGAAGCCCAATGCAATTTCATCATTTTCCTGAGATCGTCAATATTGATTGAGAGGAGGTGGAGGGGGGAGAGGAATGGAGGGAGAAAGGGAGGAGGGAGGAAGCCAGGCAGTGAGTGAGGAAAAAAAAAATGCAGCTCACCTTTACGTTCTCAGCACAGAAACACAATTCCCAGGAGCAGAGATACCTCGGTGGTCTGGCAAATTAGTTTATCATTTTGAAAAATATTTAAGTGGAAATTCTGTGTGTTTGCTGCATCAGCCTAGGGAGTCACTGGCTACCACTTGAGCCTGAAGCCAGGGCAACAGCAACTTCAGCATGGGGGTCCATCAAAGAGAGCTTTTCCAGCCCTGCCCTTCCCTGTAGTTTGGGGTCCTGTCACTGAGCACTAGGGGACCAAAGCAGGTTGCTGTCTGGAGAACTTTTGTTTTACACGGTGTGTGTTTCAAACATTAGCTGGTTCAAATTCTCATGTGTCCAACCACACAGTGAAGGAGGCAACATGGGAAGAAACCAGAGCAACAGAAAACTGCATTATTTTATGTGACATTAAAGATGTGAGAACTGGGGTGTGCTGCCTTCTTCCCCAAGCTTTGATGTCACCGAGGATGCTATTTGAAAGAAAAATTGGCAACATATTGACCAGAGCTCAATACAGTTGATCTATGAATAACATCACGGGTACATTCATAGGTGGTGGTGGGGTGTGTCTGTAGCTGGAAAAAAGAGGAGACCCACAGAAAAGGTCACGTCGAGAACTGTTTTCTAAATGAATTAAACCATTTCCCTAGTCCCAAGAAGGCACATACAGTATTCTGGGCTGTCCTTGTTTTCTTATCAAGTTTTCTCTAACAGCTGGAAATGGTCGGAGGGGGCTGTCTTAAGAAGACCCCCTGCTCTTCTTTTGACAGCTGATCAAAAGAAAATAGGTCACGCTTCTCAAACTTACGTCCACCCTGTCCTTAATTACTGTCTCTTTAAACAAAGGCAACATCTGCGCAACCTCGAGCTAGCTTGAATCTTCGGAGGCAAACGGAGCGCAACCTGCTTCGGAAGAGACTGTTACTTTTAAGGCTTTCAATGCCCGGTGTTGGCCTCTCTGGCTGTCTTCTACCACCCCACTACCCCCACACAGTTCGCGGAAATGACTACCTCCTCCTCTCTGACCTCCCGACCTGGGTTTGCCCAACAACGGGAATTCTAGAAAGACAAAAGTGTACTTTTTAAAGCTACAGCTTTTCCGAGAGCGTTTTCCCTCGTATTCAACGCCCCAGGCTCGAATCTTTTTAAAGACCAGAGTGGAAAATGCAAATACGAGCGGAGTCTTACCGTTACCTACCCACAGCACTAACCTAGGGTGGACGATCCTCTCTAGAATTTGAGATAATTGAGTGGGTGTGTGTGTGTGTGTGTGTGTGTGTGTGTGTGTGTGTGTGTGCTGATGAGGAAAAATACGCCAGTGCTGTCCCCACTATTTTGTATACCCCTTGCTCCCAGGAGAAGTTTGCGAAGCTGTGAATATCAATAACAATATTCACCCCCAACCCCACTCTCTCCTCCTCCCCTTCCCTGTTCTCTGAAGGAGCAAGCATTTGATCACCTCGAAACCGCAGCTTCTGGAATTTTAGTTTTGTTTTGCAATCTAGTCGGGCCCATCTGAAGCCTCATAACTGGGAGATTTATGGGCTGGCCAAGTAATTAAATGATGTTATTGTGTTAAGTTTGCATGCATTAGGGCTGCTTGCGCCGCCGACAGTGTGAACCTTCCGCCGCGGCCGGCCTGAGCTCTTAGGCAGCCGAGGCGTTCGAGCTGCCGTCCCATCATAGATTATGCACATCCCAGTCTCGGAAATTTACCGTGCATTAGAACACATTAGCGCCTGCATTTTAAAAGCTAGACTGCTAGCTCCCGACGAGGGACTCTCGGGAAGTGGCTAGGTAGGAGACGCGCATTTGTTTTTACCGTACCACGAGCTTACAAGAGTGAAGAAAAGCTTTGAGGTGAGACTAAAGAAACCGAAGCAATCAACCCAAATCGCAGCTGCCCAGAAAGAGGCATCTCTCACATAATCCCCCTTGGTCCCCGCACTCTTGCTTCTTTCTCTCTCCCTAGTACCCCCCTTCTTCTCCTTGACGCTTGGTTCCAGGAGCAGAAAAAAAATGGGGGGCGGGGGGAGCGAACCGAGCTGTCAGCCAAACCTGAAACGCTGGTCCCCGCCCCTTCCACATTCATTGGCAGCTGCTCCGAGAAGGTCTGCCTTCCGAGGTACCTACTACCGCGGATTGGTTTCTCTTGATGCTCATCGAGCACGGTCCCGCCCCGGGCCCGGGAGGATAGGTTGGCTGCTCCCGCAAGCGGCAGAGCCCTTCTGGACAGCTCCCGCTCACCCAAACAGAAGACGTCGGCGCCAGAGTGGGCTCGGACATGGCGAGGCAGCGCGCCCGCACGAGCAGCGGGGCCCGGTGATCCCTCCCTCCTTCCCTACCCCCCTCCCCTCTCCCGCACGCACGCCCTGTCCGCCCCCACCCCACCCCCACCCCGGGCGCGCCCGCCCGCAGCCCGGGGCACACACCCGCACGCACGCCCCAGCACACACTCCCGCACTCCCACGCCCGCCCCCGAGCCCAGTGGCCGAACCACGCCACGCGTGCCTAGCCAGCCCACCGGCAGCCCCCGCCGCTCCCACCGCCCCCGGGCCCCGATGGACTGAATGAAGGCTGCCTACACCGCCTATCGATGCCTCACCAAAGACCTAGAAGGCTGCGCCATGAACCCGGAGCTGACAATGGAAAGTCTGGGCACTTTGCACGGGCCGGTCGGCGGCGGCAGCGGCGGGGGCGGCGGCGGGGGCGGCGGGGGCGGGGGCGGGGGCCCGGGCCATGAACAGGAGCTGCTGGCCAGCCCCAGCCCCCACCACGCGGGCCGCGGCGGTGCTGGCTCGCTGCGTGGCCCGCCGCCGCCGCCAGCCGCGCATCAGGAGCTGGGCACCGCGGCAGCGGCGGCAGCCGCGGCGTCGCGTTCGGCCATGGTCACCAGTATGGCCTCGATCCTGGACGGCAGCGACTACCGGCCTGAGCTTTCCATCCCGCTGCACCACGCTATGAGCATGTCCTGCGACTCGTCCCCGCCAGGCATGGGCATGAGCAACACCTACACTACGCTGACTCCGCTCCAGCCGCTGCCACCCATCTCCACGGTGTCAGACAAGTTCCACCACCCGCACCCTCACCACCACCCTCACCACCACCATCACCACCACCATCACCATCAGCGTCTGTCGGGCAACGTCAGTGGCAGCTTCACCCTCATGCGCGACGAGCGGGCGGCGCTGGCCTCGGTGGGCCACCTCTACGGGCCCTACGGCAAGGAGCTGCCCACCATGGGGTCGCCACTGTCGCCGCTGCCCAGCGCGCTGCCCCCAGCTCTGCACAGCGCCCCGCAGCCGCCACCGCCTCCTCCGCCGCCGCTCGCAGCTTACGGGGCTCCGGGCCACCTGGCCGGGGACAAACTACTACCACCCACCGCCTTCGAGCCACACGCCGCGTTGCTGGGACGCGCGGAGGACGCGCTGGCCCGAGGGCTTCCTGGAGGCGGCGGCGGCGCGGGAGGCGGCGGGGCGGCTGGCGGGGCGGCCGCGGGTTTGCTGGCTCCGCTGGGCGGGCTGGCCGCGGCTGGGGCTCACGGGCCTCACTCAGGTGGTGGTGGCCCCGGAGGGGGCGGTGGCGCCGGCGGAGGCGGCAGCGGCCCGGGAGCCGGCGCCGCAGCCGAAGAGATCAACACCAAAGAGGTGGCCCAGCGTATCACCGCCGAGCTGAAGCGCTACAGCATCCCACAGGCTATCTTCGCACAGAGGGTTCTATGCCGGTCTCAGGGGACTCTCTCCGACCTGCTCCGGAATCCCAAACCCTGGAGTAAACTCAAATCTGGCAGGGAGACCTTCCGCAGGATGTGGAAGTGGCTGCAGGAGCCCGAGTTCCAGCGCATGTCTGCCTTACGCCTGGCAGGTAAGCTCAAAGGCATCGGTAGCCAGGCTGCTGGGGGAAACTGTACGTGCTCCAGGGGCTGGTCTGTGCGTGAGCTCTGGTCTTTAGCTGTTCTCCCTTCTCTCCTATATACTTCCCCCTTTCTTCTCTTTCTTTTTCTTCCATTTTCACTTTCTCTTCTCCCCTTGTTTCTCTTCTCCCTTTTTTCTTCTCTTGCTTTCTCACTCATTGCCTCCGAGTTTGCATTGCCCCCTCCCTTTCATTTGTCCTCTTATCAGTGTGCCAACCTTTCCCCTCCTACAGTGGGAGGCGGGATCGGGTCTCTTAGCGTCCTCTAGAAGCCCTGTTTTGTGGACTCAATGCAAATCAAGATTGCCCTTAGCCCAAACCGGTGTACTTGAACTTTCTTAGGACAACACTCTTCTGTTTTCCAGGGTGCCTAGTCTCCTTATGTAGATGCTTTTGACTGTTAGGGAGTTTTGTTCCTTAGAAAAGGAAAAGAGTTCTTCACTCCCCTCCTACCCACCAAAGCAGGCAAACTTCTTTGGCCATTGGCAGGAGGTACACCCTTGCGGCTCCGGGAACTAACGGCCAGAACCTCTCTGAGGCTTTGGTGTTAGCCCAAGGACTTTATGACCCACTAAAAGAGCGGAGTCTGTCTGGCTCCGGTGTCACTGACTGTAGAAAAGAGGGTTCAAAGACGAAGGTTGGCGCGGCCGCATTCATCGCTTTAGGAAGAAGCACCAGAGTAAAGAGCTCCCTGCTTCATTCGCCTGCAGCCCTTGCTGGGCTACAAGCTAGGGTTTGCTGAGGTTTGACAGTACTCCAAGAGAGATTAAGCTCTCGGATAGAGGTGCCGAGAAATTAAGAAGCGAGTTAGTTAAGGTTTCCTGGCCGCAGCAGGCTGTAAGCTCCGCCTTTGCATTAAGCGGGCGCTGATTGTGCGCCTAGCGGCGGCGTGGCAGGGAGAGCGAGCAGCCGCGGCAGGGGACCGGTCAACGCGCGGGTTACATTGTTCTGGAGCGGGCACGGCTCTCTGTGCCTCCTCTAGCGGCCGAGAGGCGAGGTACAGCCCTCTATTGTTCTAGGAACACTGAAACCTCCGCTGTGGGCGGTGGGTGCAAGAGCAAAAGACGCAGCCTGGGCTGCGGAGGCTGACTCAGTTGCGGAGCTTTAGTGCACGCAGACCCCTTTCCGAGAGTGCCACCACCGTACTACCCCCAGGCCTGAACCGCAGACGGGCTAGGTGTCCAGACCTCCCACTGGTGAGGACATACAATACCCAGCTGCAAGCCTGACTGGGACCTCTCCGGAAAGACCTGGCGCTCTAGAACAATTAGTGTTCGTCTTAATTTGCGTAAAATCTCTATTGAGACTCGCGTGGTTCTGAATCGGGCGCTCACTGCTCACTAGCGCTCTCAATCTGTTAGCTCAGTTGTCCTCTCCGGTCCCCAGGACTTTCTTCCACCACCGAGCCGGGCTTGTCCGGTGCATAGCAGGACTAGGTCACTGCTCCGGAGGAGGAGGCGTTTCCGCCTTCAGCCCCCGCCTTTGGCCACTGCTGGATTTTGTTCACTGTTCAGTAACCTCCCCCTGCTAATCTAAAAGGGTAAAGAAAAAAAAAAAGCAAACAGAGAAACAAACAAACAAAAAGATTTGTTCCAGAGAACTTCATTCAAAATCAGTGGGCTTCGGCACTTTTGGAGTTCACAGTCGTCTTTATCTTTTTTTTTTTTTTTCCTCCCTTGGTTTATTCTTTATCCTCTCCTACATTTTCTTTGGATTTGCTCCTGGCCCCTAGCAAAGATAAAGCTGGAGGCCTGGCGACAGCTCCCAGTGTAGTAAACGCTTTTGTTTTAGACTCCCCTCTCTCCAATACAGCAGGAGCTCCAGCCTCGGCTGGCTTCCAGCGCTTGGGGGCTAGAAGGAACTTGGCAGCTGCTCTTTGGGGTACAGTAAAAGGCTGGAAGACAGCTGTTGTACTCTGGCCCATCTCGGAGCGCTGCCGCCCCCTCACGCCGGTCGGGCAAAGGACAAGGCTGTTGGAAAACGCTAGGTTCTGCCTGTGTACGTCTTGAAAGTTAAGCCTCGCCTTGCTATGAGTTTTTAGGATAGCGCGTGAGAAAGAGTGTGGTACCTGGGTCTCTCAGCCCGACTCCTGCAGAGTTGCCTGGTGGTACCTGAAGGCAAGCTTTCCAGACCGCAGAGAGATTCTCGGCGGGGACGCCTAAGGGAGAAGTGCACTGAGGACCCGGCTTTGCTCAAACATTTAAATGTGAGTCTGTTTTATTACCCTAGGTGAAAAGGGACAAGAGCCTTCTCCTTTTTATCTCGCCGTTTTATCAGCAACTACAAGTGTGTGGAGTGGTTATTATTACATAGGAGGCTTTTCAGTACGGGGTCAGTAGATCAGTCTCTTCAGACACTGCGGCAAAAGCCAGGACAAGTAAATAGGTATTATGTGCTCAGGAGAGTAGGGAACAGAAGCACAGAGAGGAGAAAAGGGAGGCCTTTTGATTGTTATTGATCGATGGGAAACCCCGCTGGGAAGCAGCCCGGACCTAGGCCTTTGGGACCCAGGGTTAAGCAAGCCAGCGACTCCCCGGGATGGCCAACCCAGTCCAGAACCTACAGGACCTGGAGCCTGCCCATTCATATTCTCTCTCTCTCTCTCTCTCTCTCTCTCTCTCTCTCTCTCTCTCTCTCTTCCCCCCTCCCTCTCTCCTTTTATCATTTTGAGACCCATCTGGACAGGAGTCTGAGGGTCTCTGAGTTTAAAACCTTTGGTTTGCCCACCATCTTCAAACTCTAGGTCAAGTATATCCAGTCACCCGGAAGATTGGGTCCTTCCACCAATCTGCCCGGTCTCTCTGCTACCTGCACAGCCAAACCCAGGTTGCTCTAGAGAGGATGCGGGAGGGTGCTCGGAGGGAAGCTTGGAGTGTCGGAGTGTCAGAGTGTCCCAATTTAGTAGTCTGAGAAAGGAACTCTGTGCGCCCTGGGTGGTGAGAATAGCAAGTGGTTGCCACTGGCCGAATAGGCTGGGAGTGGCCCAAGACAGGATCCCGCAGGGCGGTTTTTTTAAGTCCTGGCCTGAGGACAAACTCACGCAGTTTTGAGCACACTTCCTAGGGCTTTGATCCTCAAGGGCCTCGGCACGGCACACAAAAGCAAGCTAAGAAGGACCTCGAGGGTTCAGGGAAGAACCTGAGTCCATCGCCAGGTGGAGGAAAACCGAGATTTTAAAGATGAGGGGTTTGGGGTTTTTGTTTTTGTTTTTTCTTCCAACGCAGGAAAACAATAGCATAGCTGCTGTTACTTTCATAACTCGGGTTTCTGCCTCCTGGGAGGTAACCTCCGAGGTTGGCCCTCCCGGAGTCCGACTCTAGTGCCAACTGCGGGAAGACAGAGTGGCCTTCTCCAGGACACAGTCCCCAGACAGTCAGGATGGAGCCCACTCAGTTCAGGCGGTCTAAGGCCCTTAACCAGCCCGATGTCGTCGGACACACTTGATGCCCGCCTTAGGGTTTGGACGGGAGCTTTGGTTGCTCCTGCCCAGACACACATACCTGCGCATCTCCAGTCGCGCGGTGCGAGTGTATAGATGACGCGGGAGAGCGTTTTTTGCTAAATTGAAGGGCTGGAAGAAGGCCTGCACCTTAGAGTTCCTTCTGTCCTCCACTCAGACTTCCCCACCATCTTGTTTCTCCAACCGGGGGACCAGCCCGCCACTCCCGAGGACTTAGTTCCATGACCCGAGCCGGGAGGCCAAATCCTACACACGTGCAGAACAGACTGATCTGTTAGCCTGCTAGCTGATCGGATTAATAACTGCAAAGCTCACTACTGGTGTCAGTGCTTCAAGTCCCTAGTCCCCAAAGAATGCCTTCCTAACTCAGACTGAGGTCGCCTGGAGCTTGCGAAGGAGGCGGGACACGAGGGAGCAGAGTGATTCCGAGTTTGAGACGTATTTCACGCCACCGGGAGCGGTGGATTAGAGGGGCCGCGCACTTCTTTTTATTCCAGGCTTTCCACCGTGTGGTTATGTCACTTTCTCAAACAAATGTGTATATGGAGGGAGATCGATGCTGATAATGTTTAGAAGATTAAAAGAGCATTAATGCTGGCAACAATAACGTAAACGTGTGGACCCAGATTTCATTGATCTGGAACCTGATCCGGCGCGTTTCCAGTAAGTCCGACTTCGGCGTGCTCTTCCCAGAAGAGCGCTCGCCAGTGCCCAGGATCCCTGGCGCTCCGGCCATGGCCACTTCACCAGCTGGGGCCCAGTTCTCAGGTCTGACCGCAACTCCTCCCATGAGCAGTCGCCGGAGCCAGCTCCATTCTCGCTAGGGTTTTCTTAGCCTTGCGCGGGACTGCTGGACCCCCTTCCCCACCCCTGTGAGCGTCTTGTACACTCTCTGCACTCCTGGGTTCTCCCTGTCCTTCTGGCTGGTTCGTGTTCTCTCTCTCTCTCTCTCTCTCTCTCTCTCTCTCTCTCTCTTTCTCTCTTTCATCAAAACTGTTCGGGAAAGCCCCCCTTAATTTTGAAATTCGTTCTCGATTAAGTTTAGAAGGACTGTGTCTAAAGCTGCCTGGAATGTCGTGTCTCGGTTTCATTCCTCAAAATGGCCCGCTCTGCGGTGAACCAACTGGGTCAACCAGGGGAAGGAGCTTGTCTTCTGTCTTGACTCTTGACTGTGGCCGGGATCTTAGGGCAAGGCTACTAGGAGAACACCCACCCCGCACTTTCCCACCTGACTTTGAGGTCACAGGCCTATCCGGGATGTGTGGGGGGGGGAGAGGGGGCTTGGGAGGAGAGGGGCTTGCTCTGAGACACACGTCCAATCCGCCAGATAAGAAAACTCTAGAACTTTTTCTTTCCCTCTACGGGGGAGAGGAAAGAGCTAAGTTCTTAACCCCTTTCCTTGCTAAATGGTGGCTTGCTCTTTGAGAAGCATTGGGGTGGGTTTTCTAGGAGAGGGCAAGAGCTGTTTTAGTATATATATATATATATATAT